GGACTTGTGACAAAGACTTGGTGTTGACGACATTCCCATCTCTCCCCCTCTTCTTCGTCTGATCCCCTCCTCTTCGTCTGTGTATGTCTGGACCTGGCGCTTCCTTCCTATGTATAGCGCCAGGCTCCTTCACACCTTGTGATGAGCATGATGTATGTTTGGTCTGTGTTGAAACATTGATTGGGCTAGTCATTAGCATTCTAGCACTCTGCTTCGCTATCTTGTATTACGTGATAAAGGTCAGTCTCGATCAGGTCAGGTCTTGTATCCAAGTCTTCCCTGCGCTATCAAGCACCATTTTGTATGTATCAGAATGCACATTGCTTGTTGAGATTCTACTTGCACTGCGTTGTCCATTCAATCCTTTTTATCACATTGCAGATCGTCGGTTTATATGTACATCGCCCAACTGGGCATGTAACACCACCAACTAATCAAAATAAAAATAAATCATATGCGCAGATGTATGCGCAATGGAAAATAACTGTGATTGTAATTGAGCACCAATTGGAACCTTCCTTCCCCTGTATCCAATGTGCCTGTCCGCATCGTCAAGCAGCGGTGTCTAAGGTGTGCATTAACGGCCCACCCCTGTGCCCAGGAACTCGCTTATGACCAGCACTGCCCTTTATTTATCCTCGCTTGCAACAAGCCTTCCATCCGACTGATCTGTCTGATCAAGAGGCATTTTAAGGACAGCGCCCAAGGTCCTCAGGAATTATTTAACGTTGCAGACAGGATGATGATCACAGCCAGTAATCAGAACAGATCCCTGCCAGAAATATTTATAGACGGTCTGGTAAGCGTCTGAGCTTCAAAGGACAAAGGAGCATGCCCTGCGTGTACTACTCCCATGGGTTGGCATGGTGACCGTGACGCGTGCTTCGACCAGGGCCCTTCAGAGGCACTGCCCTCTCCTGCGAGATGCGCCACCAGGAAGAATGTCGACTCTCAAGGTAGAGCGCTCATGACCCCTTAACCAAGAGAGGATGCTCAAGTTGGACTCACTTTCTCACGGTACGAAGAGATTGAGAGGGAAGATAAGGTAAGGGAACAACGTACCTGACGATAGCTGCCCCCAACCACAGATTTCTCCCCAATTGAACCGACGTGCATTTCGCTGACCGGTCATAGCCTCGGTACCACTCACAACGAAATGCAGTGCCACCTCAGCCAAAATGCCACGTCAGCATGCTGTCATCATTACACGTACATCCACTGTCGCCACAGCTCCCACGCTGTGCCACAGCCTTCCAGCCAACTCCCCTCTACCCGGGAGTGGCTGATAATGCTAGCGCCACTGTATCCTTACAGCGTAGAAGCATCGTCAGCACACGAAGTAACAATGTCACCACCGCCAGGTAATGGCGAACTCGAACCAGCGCCGATACCAAATTGCAAGGAATAGGAGCGAGAGCGATAGACAGAAATACGAGTTGCAAAATCACGCAGAAGTCCAGATAGTCGTGTACCAAGCGGAGAGCTCAAATGCACCAAGATTCCATCCAAATAAGAGCGAAGCAGTGAACTTGTGTGCCAATGTTATCGCCCTCAGGCCCTACCAACACAGTATCCAATGTCGCTCATCTCTGTCTGGCGCCCAGTGCCCAGCCTACTCTACTAAGCCTATCTAGCCTATCTACATTCATGCAACAGGATCATTTCAGACGTAGAAGACCAATGTACATGATGTCAACACCAATGCCAACCTCCCACATACACCCAGGTACGTTCTCTCTCCTCTCCCCTCATCAGACCTTGACCACCCACTCATGCGCCTCCTTCCCGAAGGCCACCTTCGTCCATCACCCGCATGCGCCCCTGCAGCCCGGCTATGGCTGTCGTGCGCCCGCTGCCCTGCAGCACCCCTCTCACCTCATAGCGCCCGCATGTGCCCCAGCCAGCAGCGCTCATGCAGACACCTGCGCATCAGCGTGTCCGCATTGCCTGCCTAGGCCAGCATACCTTCATCCTGGCCAGCGACCTTCCTGTATGGAAGTCGCGGCCCTGTTTGGCTGTGTGGGCCTGGCTGAGGAGGCTTCCAGTAGCTTCCGGTCGGGCCCCAGCGTCTTTGTCCAGGCCCTCTCCAGCAGTTGGGGGCGTGGGCCGTTTTTGGTTGGGCACGTCCAGGCAACCTCCAGGCTCAAAGTGTTTGTTGTCTTCTCATTGGCTCGCTGGGCCTCTGTGACGACAATACTGCATTCTGATTCGCCCGCGGCCACTTTGTGATGTGTCGGCCTCACACTGCGTGTGCGCAGGGCACAACCACCTGGCCCTGAGCTCAACTGCTCGACGAGCTGCCGTCTCTGGAAGGAGCCCAGGGTGAGGCTCACGTTGCACTTCAACCAACTGGCGTGCTGCAACTGTCTGATACCCACATTGGAAAACGCTGAGGTAAGGGCCTCTCGTGGATATTCAGGCCCGCCTTCACTTACGGCGGGCACGATGCTTGCTTGGGCCACAGCCCATATCATGTTGATGTTGGCTAGCCCCCCATGAGGGCACATTCCTCACATATGATTTATGTGTATTATTAATGCTTTGCTTTAAATTGCGTCTAGTTTTTCGAACATTTTCTTTCTCCGACTGCTGACTGTTCTGTTGGCTCTCTTTTTGCGATTTGGCTTGTCGATGCAGATGCCGCCTTCGATGGTTTCCGGAACTGGCAATAACCAGCAAACAATGTGACAGAGACAGAGAGAGAGAGAGAGAGAGAGAGAGAGAGAGAGAGAGAGAGAGAGAGAGAGAGAGAGAGAGAGAGAGAGAGAGAGAGAGAGAGAGNAGAGAGAGAGAGAGAGAGAGAGAGAGAGAGAGAGAGAGAGAGAGAGAGAGAGAGAGAGAGAGAGAGAGAGAGAGAGATGACGGGGTACACATTCCGCAGTTAAGTGAACTTGATTACAACTGTGGATCTGGAAGTGGATGCGGGCGGCAGTGTGTGGGTGTGTGGGTGTGTGGGTGTGTGGGTGTGTGCGTGTGTGGGTGTGTGGGTGTGTGGGTGTGTGGGTGTGTGGGTGGGTGGTTTTTGTCTAGCCGCACTGGTTGTGGTGAAAGCTCCAGAATACCGGAGAACATTTTACAGTGGAAAGCTGTGTAAGCAAGCCACTTTCCAACTTCCAGCCGACTTTTTGCCTCCTCCACGCAGCTGCAGCAGGTTGTGGCTGTCTGTCTTACCCACACACCCAGCTGCAGCAGGTTGTGTTTTTTATCGGTTAAGAAGAAGAGTAGCAGCTAAGTGTTGGTTGGGTTTGCCCACCTTGCCTTCATCAGGCAGAGACATGCTTTTGGCCTGACCTGGGATTGCCTTCCTTGTTATGAGGCCGGTCTCCAATCTCTGTCGTATTCCGATTGGAAGTGGGAGAGAAGAATGTTGCTTTGTGGTAGTGCCTCATCCTGGTCAGCAGTTAGATTGTTTACACCCACCCACCCACCCACCCACCCACCTGCATTCCTAATGAGAAAGAGTACACAATCTCTCTGTATTCCTAATTGGAATGAGTGCGATCTCCACGAACAGGGCCAGCTCAGATGATACCCCCACAAACTGTTGAAATACCGACCTGAGTTTGAATCCAGATGATGTAGCTAGATGAACAAAATTCCGGAACGAGTACAGCGACTACGGTCTCTGTATTCCTAATTGCAATGACCATACAATGTATGCATTGCTACTTGGAACGAGTACACACAATCTCTGTATTCCTAATTGGAATTTAGGTGCGGAGGGGAGGGGAGGGGGAGGAGGGAGAGGAGGGGGAGGCGAAGTTGCATCGTGGTAGCACCTTGTGCTTGGAGGACTTTTTCGAAAAGCAACGGTTACTCTGTGAAGTGCTGTGTCAGCAATTAGGTTGTTTGTCCTCACCCCATCGATGAGAGAGTCTGAGAGAGGCATGGGGACTTTCATCATTACAAGTAGTTTACCCCCACCCCATTTTGATGTTTTTTTTTTTTTTTTTTTTTTTTTGTCAGGGACCTCTGCGGGCTGGCTCTGGTTATTTATTGCCCTTAGGGTTTAGGGTTTAGGGTTTGGGGTTTAGGGATGGCTCTGGACTATTAACTTAGTATTAAGTGGTGATGCAAATCTGTGAAAGTGTTTGCAGCCATACTCGCTATGAGGGCATGCATGTGCAAGTGGGAGTAGAGGTGAAGACGCGGTGTGAGGAGAGGTGTAGACTCCGTAGAGAGGGAGGAAGTGCCCTCCTTGATGTGCCTGTGCTGTGCAGCTTGCGTGTTAACAATCTTTACTATTCGGCAACACACTATATGACTCCCTGGTTGGGGCTCTCTTTTGCATGAGAGCCCGTGGGACATAGTAGCAGGGCATAGTATGGTGGTGATACAATAGCATGGCGTGGTGTCAGTAGAGCACGGCACATGGGGGAATAGTGAGGCACAAGAGCGGGGGGAGGGGGGGGGGAAATAGTAAGGCCAAGTGTATGTCGTAGTTGCCAGTTGGGCGGCGTCCTGCAGTATGCCATAGTCGTCTATGGCACAGAGTAGAGCATAGTATGGAAGGGTATGGCATAGCACGCTAGGGTCATGCAAGAGCATGACAGGGGGGGGGGGGAGGAGGGATAGGAAGGCAAAGTATGGCGTAGTCAAAGTTGGGCGGAGTCGTGCATCATGCCATAGTATGACATAGCATTTTTATTTATTTATTTATTTATTTATTGCAATAGTATGACATGGGTATGGATTCTATGCAATAGTATGACATAGCATTTTTATTTATTTATTTATTTATTTATTTATTTATTTTATTTTTTTTGAAATGGGAACAAGGCTCCAATCTATCGTGGGGAGCAGCACGTGCTGGGAACCGGGCCCAGCGTCCCGTATGGAGATTTACATCGAATTTTGAAAATTTGAGATACCGGGCCCATTCCCCGGCTTAGTGGTCATACAATAGCATGACATAGCATAGCATAGTATGGAATAGTGGGGCATAGAGTATGGAATAGTGTGGCATGCAGTATGGCGTAGGATGATGTAGTCATGCTATAGCCATGGCAGAGTAGTATTAGACTGTATTAGTAGAGTTTGACGCTACCGGTAGGCGGCATAGTAAGGCACACAGTATGCCGCCTCCCGGTAGGCGGCAGAGTAAGGCACACAGTATGCGCCAGTCAGACAACACAGTGTGTCACACATAGTATCGCATAGCATCACATAAATATTTATCACATAAATATTTATGTGATGCCAAGTGTATGACATAGCATCATAGTGTGCATCCTATGTTCATTCATACACTAAAAATGTCGAATGATCCCCCTGATGGGTGGGGTATAAAAACAATAATCGTTACATGGGCATAAGAAGGAAGTGATTAATAACACCAATGTCTTATATGATCCACCTGATGGGTATGGGTACTATGAGCATAATAACTGTCGGTATATAATATATATATGGGCATAAAATAATAATAACAGTAATGTGGTATGATCCCCCTGATGGGTATGGGGCCTATGGGCATAATAAGAACAAGAATCGTTATATATATGGGCATAATAAGTTAATAACCCATATAACAACACACTACGGTAGTGTCGTATGCTGCCCCTGATGGATGAGACCGGCTGGTTGCCACCATAGTACTTGCTACTCCAACAGCCAGGCAGGTAGTCTACTTTTTTTTTTTTTTTTTTTAATAACTGTACATTATTCTCTTTCCAGTGTTGCCACAGGATCTCCTCCCTCCTCTCCTCGCACCAAAAAAAAAAAAAAAAAAGACACAAAAAAAGTGAGGAGAATAGATAAAAGGCACAAAAAGGTGAGAAGCTGGACAAGAAGAGAATGTGCGCACGAACGATATATCAGCCAGTTGCTTTCCTGTTTTGGAAAATGTGCATTGTTGAAAGCGAAAGCAGTACTTGAGAGCATCATGACTGTATTTGGACTGAAAAAGGCTTTGTATACGGTCATGACACTGCAGCGCTATGTTCAGCGGAAGAAGGTAGCAACCTTGTCCGCTTCGAGGAAAAGCCGTGTGACGCGAACTGCAGTGTGTAAAAGCCTACCAATTACCCCACCGTCTTCACCCGACTTCAACGCCCGGTCATTATCACTGTATCTAGACTGAAAGTTGCACCAAATACAGCTATAATGACTGGGCATTCTATTCGGGTGAAGACGGTAGCTCCGTTGGTACACCCCTGCCTGCCTGAGGGGCCTGAGCTTTTGAACTGCAGACCTGAATGCAAACTCCGCTCTGGAAGCAGATGAGTAAAATACTTCAGTTCCTAATTACCCACCGAGCACCAATAGTGTCTGTCAGTTCGACTATCTAATCTATGATGATATATCACGGCCGTCACCACTACCTCCAATCCCCTTTCTGCTGAACCTGATTTTCACTCGGCACCGAGTTTTGCCGAGCAGGGGTTCCATTATATTTTCTTTTCTGGTACTCGCTGCGGCAGTTGCATCCCGAAAACAACAAGGAAAAAGAAAAGAAGAGAAGAAGAAGGAGGAGAAGAAGAAGAAGAAGAAGAGAAGAAGAAGAAGATAGGATGACGAAGAATAGGGCATTCAGCAGGAGTACGTGTGCATAATATGCGTTGGACTTTGCCCACCAAATGCCACCCTCGTCGATTGCTCATCCACTTTCCCTGTTCCATTTTCCAAGTTCGATGTTTTGCCCGACCGATCTTCTGTGCCCTTCAAGCTTTCGAAACGGCATCAAACGGCATCAAACGGCAGCAAACGGCCTGTCGTTTTGGCGGCATGGGAAAAGAAGAAGAAGAAGGGGAAAAAAAAGAAAAAAGAAACTTCCCTAATGCCCTGATAGACATCAGATAGTAGATTGTTTGAGGTGCTAGTGTGACTGTGCCCTCAGTGAGTGAGGGCGTCTGTTCGATGAACAACAGATGAAGAACGAAGAAACCTTATGCTGTGATTGCGAGAGAAGCATCCCGTTCCGTATGCTGTGATTGCAGTGGGATAATCTACGCTACAGTACAGTACAAATGTGTGAGTCTGAGCTAAGTGAGGCAGTCGGTTGCCCCGCGTGGAATACACCCTGCCTCACTGGAACCAGGGCACTACAAAGAAATCGGAAGAAGAGAGGGGGGGGGGGGGGGGGGAGGGGGGGGGAACACAGCAATCAGGTTCCACACATAGATGAGTGATATAATCACCACACATAGGGGAAGAGAGGCCAGATACATGCCTCAAAAAAGCACTGATGTGACTTCCACCTCCGTGAGGGTGGGGTCGGGTCTTCCCGGGCGTCGCTGGATTCCAAGTTCTTAGGGCGAACTCACACAGCCGTCGCAAAGCAGCAGAATCTGAGAAATTTGCAATCCCGCCGCTTTTCCCGACTGGGTCACACAGTGGGACCGAATCAATCAAGGACACGCCGAACGGGACTTACTGCCAATTGCCAAAATGCCTCTTCACGTGGCCACACGGCGGGAGGCCTTCTTTCTTTTTTTTTTCTTTTTTTTTTTTTTGAGGTCCAAGAAAATCTGTTTCAAGTTTCCTCTGGCTCCAAGCAGTTGAGCGCGCTATCACTCGGAGATGGTGGCGGGTCAGACGACGGAGATGGGAGAGTTGGATAGTTGGGCTTTCTGATGGGACGCAGTAAGGCGGATTCCCCCTGAGGAGGCCGTGTGGCGACGGCCGAAAGCGGTAGAGGTGGGGTGCCTACCCACCGGGCCACCGGCAATTTGCAATCACGTTTACTCTGTACCTTGTTGTACTTGTGATACACTCAGCTCTGACTTAAAAAAAAAAAAAAAAAAAGACTTTGTCTTTTTGGACTTTGCCTGTTTGCTTAGTCTCACACTTATCTCAGTCATAACCTAAAACTGAAAAAGAGAATTTGCAATCCAAGGAGTTCTGATAGATAGACGCGCCGAAATTTCCTTTCACGAAATCCTAAACGGAAAAAGAGAATTTGCTACCACCTCCGGAGGTGCCAGCAAAATGCCCTTCGCCGCAGCGGGCCAGGCCGGTGACATTTGATATGTGTATCGCTGCGTTTGTGCCACTTTGAATTCCCTGCCTCATGGTGCGACTGGCCCAACCATCAATCAAATTTTTAGCTAGGCTACCAGAGTGGGCGGGTCACTTGCCGGCCGGGCCAAAAAATATATATATATATATATATAGAATTTATTTTTTTATTCTAAATTTGGTGAAGAATTTCGATGTGACCCGGAGGCAAA